GGCTCTGAGAGAGACAGAGAGATGTGCTGTCACTGCGCAGCACCCGAGGCCACACGATCACTCACCCACACCCCTGTGCTGCTGCGCCTGCTCCTCTGTGCACGTCCCAAACACTTATAGAAGACATCCGCCACGTCCAGAACCTGGGCAGGCTCCAGGCAGCGAGGAGAGAGGCATCTCCACGGGGCAACCCTTCCCTCCTGTCTCCCTCCTCCACGCTGGAAGCAGAGGAAGCCTCAGGAGCTAGCTTGGATCTTTCAGCTGGGACTTGGAATGAGCACCATTAGGTTCAGGAAGGCCTTAACGGCAGAGCCCATTAGGCACCTTGTAAAGCACCAGCACAGTTCCGCTGGGAAGAGACCCTACATACAGCGGGACACATGGAAAGAGACACACATAGAAAGCTTCACCCTCACTCTGGACCCACCTGAGTGCTGGAGCTCCTATTCTAACACAGAGACAGAGGCGGGGGGGGCAACACCTTCCCCCAGCTACTCCCAAGGCCGTCCCAAGAGTCACCAGCCCAACAAACCCAGCTCCCCAGGCCCGAAAGCAGTGGGAAGCCCCAGTTATGGACTCAGAAGAAGAGGGGTGAGTGGGGGTGCCTGTCTGCCCCCACCCCTCCCCACCCCCCCAGGCAGTCTCAGTCCTTTGTTTCAGGTGCGAGACCCACTAAAACAAGCTCTGAAGCACCTTTAGACTGGGGGGGACAGGACAGGATGGTCATGGTCTCAGGGTATGGGAATCATGGGATGCAGAAGAGCATTTCGGGATTGCACAGGATGTTGAGGGGACGGGATGTTTAAAAGAGGAAGAGAAGGCATGGAAAAGGCATGGAAAAGGCATGGAAAAGGCATGGAAAAGGCATGGAAAAGGCATGGAAAAGGCATGGAAAAGGCATGGAAAAGGCATGGAAAAGGCATGGAAAAGGCATGGAAAAGGCATGGAAAAGGCATGGAAAAGGCATGGAAAAGGCATGGAAAAGGCATGGAAAAGGCATGGAAAAGGCAGGAATCTAGGCAATCTAATTGAAAAACAGAGGGATACAAGATGCAAAGAGCTGGTGTACATGTACAGAGCTGGCTGGTCACGACAGTGGGCTGCACCTCGCCAGCATAGTCTGTCCTGTTGCAGACTCAGCTTCATTCCTAACTACCTTCCCGGTTGAGGGGCCCTATCCCGTTGTGTGTAAGGGTGTATGAGTGCCAGCAGCTGAAGTGGGACCACTGATCACAGGGGCCCATGTGCCTGGCAGCGCTGTAGGCTGTCCAGAAGCAAGCCCACAGGACTACTGGAGGGACCAGCAAGTCCTGCCTGAGTGCTGGAGGGGGCTGGATACCAGACTCAGGACCCTCGCTCCCACTGATGGTCCACCCATAGCTTGCAACACCCCCTTGCAATGCTGTAATAAGCACTTATGAGAGCACTTTGTCTTCCTGATCCAAATCAGATGTCAAGGCTTCAGCCTCCAGAGGGACCCACACAACAGATATTTGCACATCAGCACATCAGTCCAGGTAACAAGACACATGGCAAGTGCCACTTGGCACAGACACTTCTGTCCATTAGGACAAACAATGGTTGGCTCAGGCACAAGGTGCCGGCAGCGGCTTAGCTTGAGTCATCTGCTCCTGTCTGCCCAGCAGAGTGCAGCCTGAGAGAGTTCGGTGCAGGAGCTGGCCTGAATCCAGCCTTAAAGGGAAGATTTCTCCGAGAGAACATATACCATTAAGTGCTGGCTGACTGGGAAACCTTCAAACCTTGTGCTCCATTCCTTCTAATAATAGAACACCAAGATGGAGAGGATTCCAGTCCTGCAGCAGAATTATAAAGGAAACATGACCCGCGTCCACGGCAGGTGTGCAAGAGCATCAGGGAAAAAAGGCAAGTCAGAGATTAGAGAATGTGGCAGCAAGAAACCAAGAATACATGTGAGGTTCAAGAAGGAGCACAGGTAATAGAGATGTTAGCTGGGGGTGGCAGCGCTGGCGCCAGCTGCACTGCAGAGATGGAACAGCAATAAGATAACAGCTTGGCCCACCCGAGCGGTCCTTGCCTAAAGGCAGCAGGAAGCCTGCAGCGACCACACAGTGCCACCACCGCTCAGGAAGCCCAGAGCTGGTGAGCTCCAGCAGCGCATGGTCCTTGCCCCTTGGAAGGTGCTGGCTGCACTGCGCGGATCCGTGCCCGTGTGGGTCTGACAGAGCAAGCGACCGAGCAGCAGCGCCGCCAGCCCCGCAGCCCCCGCACTCACCTCGGGGCAGGTGCCCTGCGCTTGCCCGGCAGTAGCGACGAAGTTGGTCACCAGGAAAAGCACGTTTCCTCCCTAGGGGGCAAGGAGGCGCCGTCAGCGAGGACCCGCATCGCGCCCCGCTCAGCACCGGAGGTTCCCACAGTACCTGCGGGGGCCGGGCGTAGTCCGCCGCGTCCCACAGCCGCCGGCCCGAGCCCCGCACCTCGGCGGCCGCCGCCCCCTTCAGCTTGGTGAAGACGGCAGCGCGGGGGGCTCGGTCGGTGTCCTGGTAGCCCTTCCGCACCAGCAGCACCCACCTGCGGGGGGCAGCGGGGCGATGCGCGCTGAGGGGACACCCCGGCCACCCCGCCGCCTCCGGGAGGGCCGGGCCCCGCGTGAGCCGCCCTACCCGAGCAGGTAGCCCAGCGCACCGAGCTGCAGCAGGCGGTGCAGCAGCCCGACCCGCCAGTTCCGCGTCACCGCAAACTTCGCCGTCTTGTAGTCCAGCACACCGCGGCACGGCCCGCACGCCATGGCGGCGGCACCGCTCCGCTCCCGGGGCTCCGCTCCCGGGGCTCTGCCGCAACGGCCCGGCCGCGGTTCCCGCCGCACCGTGGCCCCGCCTCTCGGAGCCTGGCCCCGCCCCTCGGAGCCTGGCCCCGCCCCTCGGAGCCAAGCCCCGCCCCGTCGCCATGGCAGCAGCGCGGCAGCCCTGGGCCGAAGATGGCGGCGGCGGTAGCGCTGAGCTTTGGCTGCTGCCGGGCCTGCGGCGTGATCCGGCCTCCTGCGGCACCGGGGCCTGGCCCGCGGGGGAGGGAGGGAGGGGCGGCAGCACCATGAGGCGTGAGGGACACCCGGGACAGGGCCCTGGGGCCAGCCTGGGCTGTCCCCTCCATCCCCCGGCAGTCACACGGGGCTGTGGTCCCTCACCCAACCCAGTGAAACACCCAAGCCGGGCACAGCAGTTCTGCCTTTCCCAATAGCAAACCCACTGTTTCAGATCAAGTCCCAGCACAGTTTGGGTTGAAGGGACCTTAAAAGTCCCAGCCCCCTGCCCCGGGCAGGGACACCTTCACTGGAGCAGCTTGCTCCAAGACCCTGTGTCCAGCCTGGCCTTGAACACTGCCAGGGATGGGGCAGCCACAGCCTCATGGGTTGAGGATCTGCTCCACTGTTGCCAAAGCCATTGAGGAAACCCCCGGCTCCTTGAGGTGTGCCCATCGTGTGACATGAGCACACCACTGACAACCTCCTGGCACTTGAATCAACCTTGGACAAATCCCCCCCAATCCCTCCGCTGCCTGAAAGGCAGGAGGAGCCTTGCTCTACCAGTTCCTGGATGGCACGTGGGATTTGCATTACACGAGAGGGAAAATGAAATTACTACAGTGGCCCCTTTCAGCCTCGGAGGCTGGAGAATCTGTTTATTTTAGTGAGAGATTTTTTCTTGTAGTGAAAACTGTACAGAGATTACAACAATTCCTGTACTGATTTGTGAACCAGGAGTGAAATGAAATAAAACTGCTCCTTGTAGTAATTTTGACTCTAAAAAGGGGAAGAACTAGAAAAAGAAATTAAAACATCTGCAATATGTCCATAGACAATGGGTGATTTTACTTAGTTCCAAAGTTTCTACAATCGATCGCAGCTCATAGGTGGCAGTTGGACAGACAAGGGCACAGGCAGACAGCACAGTGCAGAATTCACACCCCTTTCAACAGAGAAAGCTTCAGGTGAGATCTCAGAACTTACAAACAGGAGTGAAAACACCTCCAACCCCCAAGGCTTTGGCCAAGGCAGCTGCCCCGTGGCTATGGAAATGGTTCCAGCTGATTGTGAATCCCTTTAATCCAACCTTTCCTGCTGCTGCTGCTCCAAGAATTTCACCTAAGGAGAAGCACATGAAGCCAAACACTCTGAAAGATCGGCAGTTAAAAGGATTAAGGTTAAAGTCAAAGGCAGCTCAGGTTAGTTCAGGTATTTCTCTGTATAACCTCAAGGCAGGCCATTAAAACCTCAACGGATCTCTCCTTTCGTAGCTGCTGGACAACGAAGCGCATGTGTGCTGTGAGCACAGGCTGCAAGGGCAGCAGAGGAGAGAAAAGGCAATGACTGATCACCAAGCCAAGCGCTGCTGCTCCCGTGCCGATCTGCCCGCACCGGCTCCCGCTCCGCCTGGGCTGAGTCTGAAAGCTGGCTCCAAGCAAACAGGTACCTTCCCACAGCCTCACCCTCCCCAGCCCTGGCCTCCAGCCAGGTGTGTGGCTGGTGTGTGCTGCTGGCACAGAAACCAGTCCTCCTCCCCCTTTACCCCTGCCCAGAGCTCCTGCCATTGGAAACCTGAGCAGGTTTCCTGGGCACATGTCCTGTGAGCTTCCAGTGGTGCAGGGAAGAGAGGAGGTTGTCAACCAGCACAGGAGGAAGCCATTGCTGTGCTTGAAGATGACTGGAAAAGCTGTTTGACTGCAAAGGCAGCAGGAGGTGAGCAAACAGGAGTGGAGACAAAAAGGAAAGCAGCTGTTTCAGCCTTCAAATTGAACACATATTTGAATATCTGTTCTCTGAGGAAGGCTAAATCATACCATATGCTGCTTACCTGTAGTCATGTGCCCCTCTAGGGCATCCCTGTGAACAAAGAGCTTGCAGAGCTATGTGATGCTGTGAAAATGCTTCTCCAAATCTTCTGATATGGTGGAATCTTCTGGAAGTTGCAGAGAAGTCAGCCGAAGGCTGAGCTCTGTGCTCAGCCTGGGACCCCCCCAGTGGGGTCTCTCTGGGGCTGCTCCTGTGGCACCTCTGAGGAACACCAAGCCCATGGCACCAGGATGAGCAGGGCAGTGCTGGAGCAGCATCTATGCAGATACTGGTGACTTCATCACTGCCAACACTTGGCAGATTTCCTGTCTTTGCTTTAAGATTTCTGCTACAGCCAGCCCTGAGTCTCTGCCAGCACATGCAGGGCCAGTGGCTCCTTTTAATCATCATCTCTGTGTATAGGGGCATTCGTCTGGAGGACCATCATGTGCTGTGTGTGCTGCTGGTGCTTGGAGCCACAGCCTGCTGCAGTGGGGTCTCTGCAGCCCAGGAGTGCACTGATGATGTGTAGGAAGCAAAGTCCTACCCAGACATGTGCTGTGAACAAATGCTTCCTGCCTTAGGCTTGTTCTCTTGTTCCACAGTAGGATTTCCTTTGTTGAACTGACTGTCACATCCACTGCTGACTCATTTCAGCTGCTGCCTTGCGCAGTTCCTCAGCAGCCTTACATGGAGCCCTTGCTCTGCAAAGTAGAGCCCCTCTCCTGGGTCATGGCTCTGGATGTCCGACTTCACACCAGGAAGATGCATGTGGTGTTAGTGCTCAGCAGAAGATGAGGTTTAGCCTCTTTGTTTCAAAGTAACTCTGTGCAGTTCTGATTTACCACATGGAGTGTCCTAGAAACCTGCAAATTAATGTATAGTTGAAAACATGTAGCCACCATTTATTGCTCCTGTTCTGTCCTTTGCCCCACGCCCTTCCTGTGCTCTACAGAGAAAAGATCCAAAGTAAAATCATACTAAACCCGGGATATCTATGGTGAATGTTCCATTGTTCTGTGGTTTCATGAGAGCAGGAGGTTGTGGAACACAACCAGGTTGAGGACTTGTCTGCTCCAGGTGCAGGCAGAGTGGTGCTGGTGTTTCTGATACCACAGCTAATGAGGGATCTGGTTTGGTAGGTTCCTCACTTTTGTACTCATACACTGATTTATCAGGGCAAAAACTCCTGGCTATGAGTTCTTTGCAGGGCATTGTAGTTAAAGGTCCTGCCTACAGCTCTGAACGTGTGGGAATTTGTACACCAGGTGGGATTTGAAGCTATTCACAGACCAACAGCGCTGAGGGTTGTCACCCGGCAGGTTTATACATAGGTTAGAGAATGGAAGCTGTGGCTGCCCCATCCCTGGCAGTGTTCAAGGCCAGGTTGGACACAGGGGCTTGGAGCAAGCTGCTCTAGTGGAAGGTGTCCCTGCCCGTGGCAGGGGTTGGAGCTGGAGGAGCTTTAAGGTCCCTTCCAGTCTGAACCATTCTGTGATTCCATGTCTGCACCGTACGGAGAAACAGAGAGAAGCTGTGGCCGCAGAGGAGGGGCTGGTGAGACACAGGCTGCGGGAACATGAGCGCAGCTCCTGGAATGCTCTGGAAACCCCTCTGCTCAGTGTGGTGCTATGACCGCCGGTGCTTTGTGGAAGGATGAAGGGACAGCAGGACGCAGGGTTCGTGCCATCTGGCAATGCCCTGCCATTCACTCACTTGTGGAAGGAGCAGACGCTGCTGCTGGTGCCTAGAGATACAGCACAGAGTTACCTCATCCTCTGGCTGTACATGCAGGAGGAGGAGCGGAGCGTGGTAGGGATAATGAGAGGATTACTTACAGCCAACCTCCCACCAGCCCTGCAGTCCCTGTGCTGCTTCCAGAGTTGGGGGAGATCATTTAGAAACAAGGCTGGGAGGTGGCACTGAGCTGCTTTCTCCTGCGCACAGCCCACTCCTGCAGAGCCTGGGGCTCCGCTTGTCTTCCCTCGAGCATGAATAGGGCTTGAGCCTGCAAGTGGGTCAGTGCCTGCTTAGTCCAGCATAACGCCTGCGATTAAACTCCCTCTGAAACAGCGTTGGGAGGCACCTGCAGTAAGGTCTCCCCTTAAGGAGCCTTCTCTTCTCCAGGCTGACCCAGCCCAGCTCTCTCAACCTGGCTCCAGAGCAGAGCTGCTCCAGGCCTCTGATTGTTCCTGTGTTCCTCCTCTGCACCCTCTCCAACAGGTCCATGTCTTTGCTGTCCTGTGGACCCAGCTCAGTCCCATTGGGCTGTCTCTGGAGCTGGCCTGGGTACCCCTGTGTCCCTGAGCTGCATCTTGGGGTCGGGGGACTCAGGTTGATGGAGTCTCTATGATGTAAATGATGGTGGGTAGCATCCCTACACCAGTGTTATCTCTAGTACAAATCTTATGTTATTCCCCCTCTGAATTTGTGTTTTTCTCCTCTCAGTGCAGGCAAACCAGCTCCTCTCCCAGTCCTCCCATTCCAGTAGCCTCACTGGTGAGGTGAGGGGATTATTAGCCCTTTAGCCCAGCACTAGAGCACATGTGCTGGAGCTGCATCTGCCCCATGCCCCCTAAAGCCCTTCCAGGCTCCCGGAGCCTAGCACCAGCCATCACACCACTGACCTACATACTGCACTGATGCATCTCGATTAGATGGGTTTCCAGCAGCCCAGCCAGGCTGACCAGGCCATTTCTGGGAGCCCCAGAAAATAATCTACTTATTTATTTAAGGCTACTTGGAAGATACTCCCATGGAAACGCAGCGTAACACCAGCCCCTAGAGACCAGCAGCTTCCTGTGAACACGGGCTGTGAGCTGCACAGGGGGGTGGCTGGATCCTGTGTACAGGGGTTCAGGTGGGGAACTGATGGGTTTTCTCCCTCCAGTCACAGGCTCCCATCTCAGAGCACTGCTGGTGGTGTTTAGTTTGGATGGCTTTTTCCTGCTGATCCTCTTTTCAGGAACCAAACACTGCAGGAGCGCTGCCTTGGTGGCTACTGACACCCCATTTTTGTGTGTGTGCATTAGTGGGCAGTTTAAAACCAATTATGACATGTTCCGCACCAGCACAGGGCACATTGCTGCAGCAGGAACATGAATGACACACACGAAGCAAGCGATTTTGTAATCCTATTTCATAAAGGAGCCAGGGCTGTGCTCGGGAGGCTCCTCACTGCCCTGCCGCCTTTAACCACAGCTCAATCCTTCCATTCCCTGCCTCTCCTGGGCTGTGCTGGGTCCACACTTGCTTTTTATGGTGCAGCCCAACAGGAATTTCTCTACATCTGAAAAACAGGTTAACTATGGATCGTGACAAGGCTCATTTATGGCATCCCAGCCTGGTTTGGATTGGAAGGGACCTTAAAGCTCCTCCAGTTCCAACCCCTGCCACGGGCAGGGACACCTTCCACTGGAGCAGCTTGCTCCAAGCCCCTGTGTCCAACCTGGCCTTGAACACTGCCAGGGATGGGGCAGCCACAGCTTCTCTGGGCACCCTGTGCCGGCGCCTCAGCACCCTCAGAGGGGAAAGCTTCTTTATGTCTCATCATAATCTCCCTGTTTCAGTCTGAACCCATCACCCCTTGTCCTGTCACTACAGTCCCCGAGGAAGATTCAACAACTCTTGGGTTTTCACCAGTTTAAAAGCCCAACTGAGCCCACACGGGGTGAGCCTGGCCCCGGCCACAGCCCACAGGGTTTTGTGATGTGGCTTCTGCTGAGTTCCTCCATCAGAGAAAAAGAAAGTGCTCTGCACCTCAGCTTGCCCTGCACTGCTGGGACTTTGACTGCTCTTCCCAGCCCTGCGCTGGGCTCCTGATAGATAACTGTGGTTCTATTTACCTTTATCCTGCTGACAATGGATTTATGGCAGAGATTAAAAGCCAACGAGATAAGTCTGTTGCCTCCCCAGATACCTGTTGAATGCTTTATTATTTTAATAAGGAATGACTGTTACCATGGGAAGGAAACTTCCCTCATGAACAACCACAGTGAGGATGGGGTTATCTGGGGGTTATCTCAAATGTCTCACACTTTAATTCCCATTATTTGCACTGGTTCACAAGCTGCTGCGAGGGCTGGAGCAGCTCTGCTCTGGAGCCAGGCTGAGAGAGCTGGGCTGACTCAGCCTGGAGAAGAGAAGGCTCCTGAAGGGGAGACCTGAGAGCAGCTCCAGTGCCTAAAGGGGCTGCAGGAAACCTGGAGAGGGGCTTGGGACAAGGGCCCTTAGGGACAGGCCAAGGGGAATGGCTTTAACCTGCCAGAGGGGAGACTGAGATGAGCTCTGAGGCAGAAGCTCTTCCCTGTGAGGGTGCTGAGGCGCTGGCGCAGGGTGCCCAGAGAAGCTGTGGCTGCCCCATCCCTGGCAGGCTCACCTGGGTGAATGCAGTTACAGATGCCTACCTGTAAAGCTCGAGTTCCAGGCCCCCTTTGCACAGCTGCCCCAGGCCCTTGGAGATCCGTTTCCATGGGTCTGGCTGGAGTCCATCTTCATGGCAGAACACCCGTGTCAGAAGAGCAAAGCTGCCCTCAGCAGTGCTGGAGGCCTGGCCATGTGTGCTGCAGCTCTAGCTGGAGGAAGGAAGGCAGCTCAGGAGGAGCGTGGCTGCAGGGGCAGCGGGCAGCGGGACTCCCCCTTTCCCCAAGGCTTAGCAGACCTCTCCTGAGCATCGTCTGAGGGAGCAGCTTCCCCACGCTGCCCCTCTGCTCTGCTCTGAGGAGATGCAGACTAGATGTGAGGAAGACATTTGTTACCACAAGGGTGGTGAAACCCTGGCACAGGCTGCCTAGAGAGGTGGTGGATGCCCCATCCCCGGAGACATTCAAGGCCAGGCTGGATGTGGTTCTGGGAACCTGCTCCAGCTGAGGATGTCCCTGCTGACTGCAGGGGTAGGGCTGGATGAGCTTTGAATGCCACTTCCAGCCCAAGCTGTTTTCTGACTGACTCCTGGGAGGGGACACAGAGCACACACAGCCAGAGCCATCAGAGAACCAGCATTTATGAGGGTGACCAGGCAGCCCGTTGCTCACAAGCCACTACACAGAGGTGCCAAGCAGGGCCATGGCACAGCAGAGACACGCTGCTCCATTGCAGCAGCAGCACGAGGATGAGGCAAGACACGGAGCAGCACTGGCAGCAGAGGGTTCACCAGGGAGCTGGTGTATCCTATAGAGACCCCCAGCCTGCCCAGGGACTGGCCAGCAAGAAGCAATGGGACCAGCTTACCCGTGGTGCCTGGCTCCTCGCAGGATGCAGTGACAGGGAGCATGGTGTCCCTGCTGCAGGACCTGGCAATCAGCAATCTCCTGCTCAATGGGTTGTTTCCTCCTTCCAAATTGTGCTGGCTGAACCCCAACTCTTTCACTTGAGTCTGCCCATAGGCAAGGAGCCTGGGGTGGCCACAGAGCGTCACCCCATAGGCCATCCCACGACACCATGGCAGCCGGGGTGGGGCAACAACAAAAAGCACCCACAGAGCCCGTCCCAACTCACAGAGAGCATGGAGGGGGCATTACAGGGAGCTGAGCCCCCCACAGCAGGGCAGGGCAGGCTGTGCTATTGGGGTGCAGGGGAAAGAGGGAGCCCAACCCAGGGCACTGCTGGGGACCTCTGGGGACAAGACAACAAACCCAAGGTCCTGAGCACCTACACCCAGGGCTGGGGCAGGAGCCTGGCCCTGGCATCACCCTCCAGCTGGGCATGGCTGATGCCAGCTGGGAAGGTGAAGTTGGGATTCTGCTGGAGGGTCCCTGCCCAGCCAGTCACTCCAGCCATGTTCCTTCTCCATCCCATGTCCCCATATGCTCCTCAGGCTCCTCAGCTCTAGACATTCAGGAATGTGGCCCTGGGGATGGGGACAGTGGGAATGCCAACAGGGAAGCATGTTTGTCCCGTCTCCCTCCCCAGACGGCACAGCATCAGGTAGAGGGGTCTGCAGGGCTACAGCCAGGATGAGACCCAGGATGGGCAGTGGTGGGGTGCCTGTC